AAAAAGTGATTGATAAGGTATTATTCATATATTCTCCTTAAAATAACATTATAAAGAATGAAGAATTTTAATATTCATTAAATTCAATATACAAATCAATACCAATTTAAATAAAGAATATTTAAGTCGTTGATGTTTAAAAAGGTTGTAATTCAAAAGAAATAAAGTGAGTTAAAGAAAGTGAAATACTCACATCTCAACACAACAAAAACATAATCATTGGGTTAGTCATAATTGATTTGTTTTTATTCTTTATTAATTCTTTAGGTAATATTACTCATAAAAGTCTTTTGTATGATATTATATTATTGAATTAAATAGTCTAATCATTCAAAAGAAAGGTTTGTCCATAACTGATACTAACAAAACTTAAACAAAAAGGAAGTAATTTTTTACTTATTTTAATTGAAAAATAAACGAGAATTAATTATAACCTCAAAAATATAAACTTTAAAACAAAATGACACTTCACCTCAAACTTTCACAACTTGATGGATATTCTATTATGATTGTTAGTAAATATTTCATGCTTTCATCTGATTTTATTAATATTATTTGTGTATGTAAAAAATTTCAAGAAACATTAGATAAATTTCATTTTAATCCAATTCAATTAACAATAAAAAACAAGTCTCTTTTTAAAAATATTGAAACTCAATTTGTTTATTCTCAAAATGATTATTTAATCCCTTTTATACAACAACGTCATTATGTATATTGTTCTTACTTACAATATCAAAGTCTTATTAATAACTCATCTTCAATAATATATACATTTGGTCCATTAGTTTATACTCAACAAGATGTAAATAAATTAGGCATTCAAATTCCAAAAGAAGTTAAAATTTTAGGAGAAAATTGTTTCTCGGAATGTTTTAAATTTCACTCATTTGAACTTCCATCCCAAATTATGGAATTATCAAAAGGTTGTTTCAGGGTTTGTGATTTTTTAAAATCATTTACATTTAATTCAATCATTGTTTCAATACCTGATAATTGTTTTGAAGAATGTATCTTTCTTAATGAAATTATTATTCCTGAAAATATTAGGAGAATAGGTGACTGTGCTTTTAAATTGTGTAAGTCATTGTCTTCTATTTCTTTTAAAGGTCCTATTGATATTATCGGAAAATATTGTTTTTATAATTGTAATAGTTTGAAATATATTCAAATACCTTTGGGAGTAGATTATCTTGACGAAGGAACATTTAAAGGTTGTAATAAATTATCTGCTATTGAACTTCCTTCTTCACTTCATCACATTGGTATTTCATGTTTTGAAGATTGTTGGAATTTAAAAATGATTCAATTAAATAATTCCATAAAAACACTTGGAGTTCGTTCTTTCTGTAGTTGTGTTCAGTTAAAATCTATTACATTCTCTTCATCACTACAACTATTACCTTCAAGTTGTTTTGAATATTGTACTTCTCTTAAAACAATTACTCTTCCTTCTTCTCTCCTTTCACTTCATGATTTTTGTTTTTATCGTTGTTCTTCTCTAGTCTTTGTATCTATCCCTTCAACAGTAACATCACTTGGATCTTCTTGTTTTGATTCTTGTACTTCATTGTCTTCTTTTTCTCTTTCTTCTTCCCTTGAAATTCCTCAAAGTACCTTCAATAATTGTCCACTCATTGATGTAACAAAATACCATTTCCTTCCTTCTTCTACTCTCCATTCAAAAACTAAGAAAAGTAAAAAGAGTATAAAATTAGATTCTTGTATTTTAAATTGATTTTTCTTATTTAACTTTAAACAGGTTTTATTAGGCTACTTGTTCTTTGTATAAGATATATTAAGAATGTATGACACACAACGTTTTTCAGAAAAAAATAAATGCCAATTAAACATTCACCAAATAACTATCTTATTAATATCTTTTTTAAGTAGGAAATTTATTTCTCTGTTTCTTTTAATATGAGTATTTTATTTCAATTCTCTTCTTTATTTAAACGGTTTCTATCAGTTCTTATGTTTCAGTTATTTCTAAATTTTAATTATATTAAAACTAGTCTTATCTAAATATTTTTAGTATTTATTTTATCATTTAAATATTAAGTGTATTATGATTCTTGGTGTTGATATACAAAATAATAAACAACAGATAAAAGTTATATCATAGTTATTAATGGAAATACTATTCATAATTTTGAGAATAAAAGTAGATATAATAATGTATTAATAAGAACCAATAGAATATTTTAAATTATTAATTTAATTAGAAAAATAATACAATATAACAAAAATGTTGTATTAACATTTTGATTTTAATCAATGTTATGTACAGTTAATTATTATTCATTATCAAAACATAATAAAAATAAATTTAGAAGATAATAATATAAAATGAAGAGTAATAAAGACAATAACTTAATAAAAATAAAAAGAAATTGTTTGAAAAAGAAATAGTAAAAATAAAGAATGAGTAATAAAGTAAAAAAGTCAGTTTAATAATTTAAAAAAAGAAATAGTATAATGTTAAACAAAGAAAGTGTGTTATTATATAAATAAAATGTAAATATTAATATATAATATTTATTTAGTTGATTTTCATTTGATTTAAATAATTTGATTGGTTATAAGTGTGTATTTAGTTATGAGTATTGTTCTGTTTGTGTTTTTGTTTTAAAATGGAAGAAGTGATTGGTAGTCATTTAATGATTGATGTGGTAGAAACACTTCTATATGTTCATTTATCATTTGTTGATAGAAATAAGAATTATCAATAGTATTTAAGAAATATTAAATATAAAATGTTTGAAACAAAAGTGAAATATATGAACAAGTTATTAAAGAGGAGAAAGAAGAAATGATAAGAAAGAAGAAACAGAAAGAAGAATAAAGATAGAAAATGATGAGAAATAAAAATAAATATCAAGAAGAATAAAATAAATGGAAATGAAGAAATAGGTTATATCTAACAATGAAATAGAAGAAATGAAAATAAAAGAATAAAACATAAATGAATTGAATCAAATAATGATAAATTGAATGTTAATACAATAAGAATTGATAAATAACAAAGAATAAAATATATAAACAATAATAATAAAGATTTGAAATGAAATAAAAATGAATAATATTTAAATATAAAAATGATGAATGTTATTTTGTAAATAATTCAAAATCAAATGTATTTTCATTAAAAATGAAGAAATTGATATTAAAGAAGAATAATAACCATTCTTTAATTATATAAACAAACAATTGATTGATATTTTCATTTTCATTTAAGATGATATTCTTATTTATAAAGAAAATCATCTTATGAATAATATCCATTCTCATTTAAATGAATAGAAATACACTTATTTGAAAGATTATCAAGAATATTTCAAATGAAAATAAATCATAATAAATGATTAAATATGGATTATTTGAAATACAACAATATAAAATGAAAAATTAATTTTATGAATTTCTTCATTTTATCTGAGAATTAAACATCATCTTATTATTATTGTTACAAAACTAACAATTCATTTTACTCTTTCTTGATATATAAAATCATATATGATGAAATTTCAATTTATCAACATATGAAATACTAAAATTATCCCAACATATACTAAATATCAACCATATTTAACAAATACTAACTAAACCAAACTATAATCAATAAGAATGAAAATCCAATAAAAATAACATGAATAATTTAATCATTTTTTTTCTATCATTTTATTGTTTTATTTCATTATGAATATTATGAATATGATAATAGAAATAGTAATAATAAATTAAATGATTTACCAAACATAACATCGTGTTTATGTTGTTATTTTTATTGTTTGTTTTATTCTTGCTTCTTATATCATATTTCATTATTATTCATATTACTTATTCCAAAAAACAATAGCAAAATTAAAAATATTATAATAAATATGATTAATAAATTATAATAGTATTATTTTTTATTATAAATAAAATAAAGTCTTGTTTTATCATATTTTCAATATATTTATTATTAAATTCAATAAAAATTAAAATAAACATAAGAGTTTATTCATTCGATGATGTTATTAATTACTTAATTCGTATGTTTATTTAATTTTATGTATTAAGTGAAAAATTGATTATATTCAATAAACAAAAAAATTAATAGAAATTAATTCTATTTATACATAATTAATTACTTTTATTTTATGATTCACATTTATATCTAACTACCAAATAAAAGAATAAAATAATCCAAAATAGCACGTTACTGAATAAGAAAATATTTCATTATCTGTTAATATAAGAATTAACGAGATTTATTAGAATTGAAGATGATCTGATTATTTTTTTAATAATAGAATAAATAATGTAATTTATTTTTTTACTTAACTCACCAATTCAGAAATTGGATAAAACGAGATAAAAAAGAAGAAAATATTTTATAAAGAGAATAAAGAGAAATGAATAATTGTTACAAGAGAACGAATACTTTTCTGATATATGCAATACAGTTTTTAAATTTGATAATGGGAGGTGTTATTTAAGAGGGGTTAATTCCAATAAAAATGAGAATAAAATGAGAAAATATTTATAATATTTAAAATAAATTTTTGTAAGTCTAAAAAGAGTTTTTGTCTCTCGTAAATTTATTTAAACAAGAAAAATTTTATTGTCAGAGTTATTGGCATAATTATACAACATAATATGACTTTTATTTAATAGAGTCTTTTTCTTTTTACTTTGTTGTGAATATTCAAACCATCATTAAAGAAGAATTACACGTACTTATTAATTGGTAAAGTATGTTTACGCAAAACTAGAAAGAATTATTTATTGAGAAGTTTGTGAGTGGAAAAAAAAGAAAAGAAAAATGATGATTTTGAATGAACGAAAATTAAAAAGAAAAATGAAACACCAAAATTCTTTTTAAAGACTAAAATATCAATTTTCAGTTCATGAGCGAGCCAATAGTATTCAAGAGCATTTCCATTCTCACTAATAAAAAGTTTAAAGAAGTCTCAATTGAAGAGCCTATTACAACACCGTTTGGAAGTATTTTAATGATCAATGAGAAAAAAGTAATTGAATTACCACGAACTATTATGACATTTAATATTAATATGTCACTTATTCCGAAAGAGATGAATATAAGTAAAGAACAACTTTCATTGGCATTTGAAATTATTTATGATAAGGAATATCTCTTTTTTTGTAAAACAAAAGAAGAATTTAGACATTGGGCTAAAATTATAGGACTTGGATGTAAAACTTATGGTGTTTTTTGTTTTCCTCTTGAAGCAGTTGTTAAAAAATCACGATGGAGAGTACCTAATATTATTTATCGATGTATTGGATTTCTTAAAACTCATGACGCAATTAATGTAGAAGGTATTTTTCGAATGAATGCCCGTGTTGGTAGAATAGAAGAAATGAAAAAAATGGCAGATGATGATGAAGATATCCATTTTGATGAAAAGGATACATGTTATCTTGCTACTTCATTATTAAAGGCATACTTAAGAAGTATGGTTGAACCATTAATACCTTATGAATATTTTGAATATTATATACAATTACCTGAAGGAAATGTTGATAGTAAAAAATTTATTAATTCTTTAACTGAATCACACCAAGACACTTTATGGTATATTGGAGAATTTTTAATGGAAGTTGTAAAGAATAAAGAAGTTAATAAAATGGATGAAACAAATCTTGCAACATGCTTTGGTCTTGTGTTCTGTGATAATCCCCCATCATTAGGTTTAACTGAACTTGAATTTACCAAGAAAGCAATTCAATCCTTTGAATTTTTATTACGTAATTTTAAATATGCATTTAGTGACGTCAAAAAAAGGAATATAGCTCAAGGAATTGAACCACCTCAATACCCCGCCTTCCAGCCATTAGTTCATCTTCCTTTTGATATCCTAATTGAACAAATCAAAATGGAACTTAGAGACATCAAAAAATCTCGAAGAATGTCAGCTACTTATTTGACTGATAAAAGTACTAGAAGAAAGAAAGTTGGTGGCTCATTGTCTATCGCTTCAACTACCTCCGCTGTTAGAAAAGAATATTTAAAGACAAAATATAAAAAAAGTAATGGTTCTTTTGCTGATTTAAGTCTTTCATCAAAATTTGGAAACAACAGACCATCCTAGGTCTTCCCGGTTTAGTATTTCTGGTTCTAAGTCTAAAACAATTCAAATTTCATCTCTTTCAAAGCAAAGCCCTTCTAATATGAACCAGCAGAAACCCTCATCTCTTAATGTACCTGTTGAACATTCTTCTTCTATATCTTCTCATCAGCTAACAAAACCACCATCTACAGACAACGTTATTCCAGAACCACCGCTACTTCACGACTCTCTTAAAAATACGGAATTGTCACATTAAATCTTTATTTTTCTTATTTGTTAATTCACATTCCTTCATTGTGTACTTTTTTTTTAATTTTCTTTCAAAGCTTTTGATATACACCCAAAATTATTTAGGTTTATTAAATGATTGATAGTTGATTTAGTGTGTTGAACTATTTTGGCATTTACTTTTAAACTCTTTTATATATTAACATTGTTCTTGATAAAACAAGTTCAAACAGTAGAAGATTTTTTATTGTTGTGTATTGTACCTTTTATTTACATTTTGTTTGTTACAATAAATAACGTCTTTTTAACACATATCTTTTTTATTCTTATAACTCTTATAGTAATATATTTTTTGGTTCAAATTGTACCTCTGTTGATAATTTCCATGTTAATTATTTTTTTCATTAACTTATCTCATTTCTTTATGATTTATTTTTTTAAATAAGTATAAATATATCACTATTTAATAAGTTAAAAATTATGTTATGCAACCTTATTAAACAACTAATATTTTTAAGCACAATATGTCTTATTATTAAAGAATACCACTATCTTTTACTTTTAGTAAATATACTCTTTTCAAAAACAAATATGAAGAGACTTTAACTCAAAATACTATCTAAATCTATTCATTATACTTTGCTTGTATTTGAATAAACTCTGTACCAATATTCCAACACCAATCAATGAATATATTTTGTAATAAATTAAAAATTTCAAATTTTTTTTTGGTATATTATCATATTCATAATATTCATAATGAAATAAAACAATAAAATGATAGAAAAAAATGATTAAATTATTCATGTTATTTTTATTGGATTTTCATTCTTATTGATTATAGTTTGGTTTAGTTAGTATTTGTTAAATATGGTTGATATTTAGTATATGTTGGGATAATTTTAGTATTTCATATGTTGATAAATTGAAATTTCATCATATATGATTTTATATATCAAGAAAGAGTAAAATGAATTGTTAGTTTTGTAACAATAATAATAAGATGATGTTTAATTCTCAGATAAAATGAAGAAATTCATAAAATTAATTTTTCATTTTATATTGTTGTATTTCAAATAATCCATATTTAATCATTTATTATGATTTATTTTCATTTGAAATATTCTTGATAATCTTTCAAATAAGTGTATTTCTATTCATTTAAATGAGAATGGATATTATTCATAAGATGATTTTCTTTATAAATAAGAATATCATCTTAAATGAAAATGAAAATATCAATCAATTGTTTGTTTATATAATTAAAGAATGGTTATTATTCTTCTTTAATATCAATTTCTTCATTTTTAATGAAAATACATTTGATTTTGAATTATTTACAAAATAACATTCATCATTTTTATATTTAAATATTATTCATTTTTATTTCATTTCAAATCTTTATTATTATTGTTTATATATTTTATTCTTTGTTATTTATCAATTCTTATTGTATTAACATTCAATTTATCATTATTTGATTCAATTCATTTATGTTTTATTCTTTTATTTTCATTTCTTCTATTTCATTGTTAGATATAACCTATTTCTTCATTTCCATTTATTTTATTCTTCTTGATATTTATTTTTATTTCTCATCATTTTCTATCTTTATTCTTCTTTCTGTTTCTTCTTTCTTATCATTTCTTCTTTCTCCTCTTTAATAACTTGTTCATATATTTCACTTTTGTTTCAAACATTTTATATTTAATATTTCTTAAATACTATTGATAATTCTTATTTCTATCAACAAATGATAAATGAACATATAGAAGTGTTTCTACCACATCAATCATTAAATGACTACCAATCACTTCTTCCATTTTAAAACAAAAACACAAACAGAACAATACTCATAACTAAATACACACTTATAACCAATCAAATTATTTAAATCAAATGAAAATCAACTAAATAAATATTATATATTAATATTTACATTTTATTTATTATATCATTTCATTGTTTCCTATTTAGTAAGTGAATTTATGCGCTTCTAATGAATTTTTCTCCTATAAAAATTTAAACTTATTCTCTCAAGTTTGGTAATTTATTATATATATTTTTGTGGATAAAATCTTCCTTTCTTATAATAAATTTATCAATGAATAACAGTTACCTATACCTCATTCACATTCTAGGTAAACACAAGGTGTAGATTATCTTTTTTTAATTACATTAGATGTACAATAAATATTATGTTTTTATTCTGTTTTTTATTCTCGATAAGTATTTATTTCCTCTTGTACTAAAAAGAGACTTTGTATTTTTTTGTACAACATCTCTTATAAATACACAGCTTATAATAATAGTACGACGTACAAAAAAAGTACTGTTGATGTTTCAAATGAAATAAATTGATTTAGCCAAATAAAATACCGGGTATGACTTAATTTTAAAAAGTATTATTTAATGAGTGTATGAACATTTTTTCCCTATGAAAAAGAAGATGAAATTGTTGGTACAGTTTGAGTAAAAAATTAAAGTTATAAATTCTTTAAATTGAATATTAATAACAATTTGTAACTGTCATTAAATTGAATTGATATTTTATGAAACCTAATAGTAACAAATGTGTTAGAAATAAACAATAATTGATTTGAAAGAAGACAAACAAAAATCAATTTATATGATTTTTTTGATTTTCAATTTAAAATATTATTGAAGAAAAGATTTTATATTAATAATTTCTAAAAAAAAAGCATAAGATGAAGTAGAGTTGGTTATGGTTTTGTGTTTTTATATCATAAAAATTAAAGTTAATTTATGTATTAATTTGTTGATGAATAGAATAAGAATAATATCAAAAAATACTCTTCTTCTATGAATTCTTTTTTCTTTTTTCTAACAGATAAAAATTCTTGGATTAAAAGGAAAGTTTGTTTATAAAAACTTTAATAATAAAATAAAGCAAATATTATTAGTTCTAAAAATTTTACTTACTTCATTCCATTAAAATATAAACAAGTGAAAATTTTTTTGGATGAAAAAAATTTGGTTTTAGAAGGAGTTTTTTTTTAAAAAAAAAAAGAAAAAAATGGTTCTTTGAATGTTCAAAATACAATTAAAACTCTTTTTGCTAGCAATTTTTATAGAACAATTACATAAAAAAAAAACAAAAAGAAGAGATCTTTAAATAAAGATATTTTCAAATGAAAAGAATTGAATGTAATGAACCAGAAGATTTACAAGAGTGGTATAGTAAAACTGAACCTAGTTTGTTTTATAATTCAAAGGGTTATTAATAATTATTAAGAAAGAGATTGATAAGTATATAGAATTAAGTAATCAAAAAAAGTTATTACAAAATTTAAATAAGAGTATTAATCAAATTAACCAAATGACCGATTCATTATCAAATGCATTAGCAGATACAATTAATATTTTTGATCAATTAACACAAATAAATCCAGAAGGATTTATTAGTGATATAACTCGTAATGCAAATAATAAATTAAAAGCATTTAAAGGAACTTTAATGGATGTTTGTTGTACTTTTACAAATGCAACTGAATTATTAAAAGTTGCAGAAAAAAGTATATTTCCATTAATCAGTCAAATTAAAAAAACAATGATTGATTGTGGAACAAAAAAGAATATTGATGCATGTGCTTTATGTAGTATACAAGCTTATGAATTTATGGAAACTACTCTTATTGATATTTATTCAATATCAATTAATATTTCAATTGATTTAAATAGATTAACTGCAATTGAAAAATATACGGTTGAAGAATTACGCTCAATGAAAGAATTTACTGTTCCTCAATTAACGTATGACCTTAAAAATAAAATTAAACATGCAACTATTCCTATCTCAAATCAATCATTACAAACATTAATAGAACATGAAGGATTATCTTTATATGAATTACCATTTCAAATACATAAAATCTTTTATTTTCTTTATACAGTTGGTTATTCTTCAACTGGAATATTTAGACTTGCAGGAAGAGCTGATACTGTAGCACTTTATGCAAAATATCCTTTATTAATTGAATATGAAGAAAAGAATAGTATTGTTATTGCAGCTACATTAAAGAAATTTATGAGAGATCTTCCAGAACCAATATTTCCATCATCTGCATATAAAGAAATAATTGAAGCAACCCGTGAATATGACCAACAAATGGTTGATAATATACAAACATTAAAACCAGTTTATATTCAAATGAATGAAAATCCTCATATTAATATAATGCAAGAAGAATCTACTCCATTAATGATTTATTTATGTAAATTGAAAAAGATATTAAGTGAACTTCCTATTGCATCAACTGTTCTTCATTATTTTATTGAATTAGCAGTTAAAATTGCTAATGGACCAAGTTTAATGACACCTAATAATTTAGCAATTTGTTTAGCTCCTTGTATTCTTTATGATTCTAAAGCAGATATTACAGAAACAGGGTATTGTACAATGGCTATACAAACTCTTATTGAACATTTTAAATATGTTTTTAATACTCAAAAAGTTATTTATACTATGTCACATAAAAATAATGTAAATTCAATGAAAAAAAGAAGAGCTACATTAATTTCTGGTAAAGAAAAACATGAATTTATTGAAACTCTTGGTTCTATTAAAACAATTTCTCCTCCTGTTGAAATAATTGTAAATGATACTTCCTCTAGAATAAATCAACCAAAAATTAAATCTGATATTTCTTTAAATATTCCACCACCACCTCCTCGTCCACAACAACTTGTAAATAAAGTTTATGCAAATTCTTCATCAAAGAAAATACATAAAAAGAAAATTATAAATCTTTCAACAACTACAGATGATATTTTAGGTAATGAAATAAAAAGAAAACCTTTAGTACCATCAAAATCTCCTAAAGCCAAAACTATGAAAGAACAACCTGCATTAACTAAATCCTGTCCTACAGGAGAATGGAATTCATTAATTGAAGAAATGGCTTTAAAGAGAAAACAAATGATAGAACGAAAACAGAATGAAGTAAGTTTGTTATCTTTTTAATGAAAAGATTTTTTTTTGTCATTATTTCTAATCAAATTCTCATCTCATTTATAGAAAATTAATCTTTCATTACACTGTTTTTATTATCTATCTATTAATTTTATATTAATTCTCTTGTATTTGTTTCTTCATTTAATTTCCTACTCTAATTTTCTTTTGTTGTTTTTTTTTTATTTAAACTTAAAAAAAAAAAAATAATTTAAGTTTACTTTTGAGTAAATTAACTTAAAAAAAAATAAAAAAAAAAATAATAACTTTATTTTCTTTTCTATTTTTAAGTTCTTTTTGAAAATTTAAATCAATTAATTTAGACAAAAAAGATTTTATAATAAGTAAAATACCAGAATTGTTTTCAATAAATAACAAAAAGAAAAATCTAAATTTAAAAAAGAAGATTTTAAGTTCTTTTAATAACTTTGTTCTTTATGAGAAAAACACTGAGTAAATTAAAACATAATTCACAACCACTTTCTTCTTCTATTACATTAACTTCACCAAATCCAGAATCAATAAAAACAAGATACCAACAAGATACTTCATGGAAAGAAGATATTGAAGAAATAGTTCAACCATTACCTAAACAATTAATGTATAATATTATTGAAACTACAATTAATTGTCATGGTGGAAGAGCTCTTTTAGATCAAAAACCATCAGGACTATATGACATGTATTGTAATGTTCCATTATTTAAAGAAATGCTTCTTCCAGCATTAAAATATGGATGTACATTACTTTTACCACACACTATTTCTCCATCAATAGAATTTTATTTAACACATCTTATTAGAAGACATCCAGCATCACAACGAGGTATTACATTAAATGGAAATTATCTTAGAATAACAGACAAAATAGATATTTATTTTCAACCACATAATTCAAAAACATATCCATGGAAAATGTGTATTGATCCATTTAAACAATTTCCATTTAATATGAATATTAATTTACCTTCAGAAATTATTTGTGAAGAAGATTCATATAGTTTAGGAATAGAAGATACAGTTTCTATTATAGGAAATGGTATTATTGTTACTCCATTAGGAGATTTACCTGTATTAAAAATATCAAGACCTTTTAATATTGAAGGTTGTACTTGGGGAATAAAATTTGATGATTTAAATGGACTTAAATGGAATAATATGAGAATAATTAAATACAAAGAAGATAAATTAAATTTAGATATTAAAGATTGGATGTATTATACAGTATATGAAGATAAATCATTACAATTTGCTGAAGAATTAGAAGAAAATAAGTTATTTAATGATATTAAAAATTATATTCAATTAGTAGTAGAAAACCTTAGTAGAATGGTTAGTAATAAGTCAATTGAAGAACAAGGTATTCTTATAAAAAAAGTAATAAATGGTATAATGAATAAAATTCCTAAAGAATATCAAAATCAAATGAATTTAGATCATATGAGAAGAACTTTTGAAGGAATTATTACTCATCAAATATTTTATGATATTTGGCCTCCATTAATTGAAAAAACAACTGAAATTATACAAAGTTCATGTGAAAAAGATAGAGATTTAGATTGGAGAATTCTTGCTTTACAATTTATTCAATTGAAAGACTTAGAAATAAATTTTTTAGATTGTCCATTAGGTAAATATGGAATTGAAATTACTATTCAACAACTTAGAAGAATTAATAGTTATAAAAGTCCTCATCAAAAAGCTATTATTCTTATAACTTCATTAAAATTTCTTCAATTAATAATTTATAAAACATTACCAAAAAGTGGTCCTGTATCTGCTGATGTCTTCTTTCCTTCATTAGTTTATATTCTTATTAAAGCAAATATCCCATTTTTTGCTTCAAATATTGATTATATTAAAGCTTTTATGAATAAACCTTTTGATGAACAAACTTATTATATTACTTCAATAGAGTCTGTCTTTTGTTTAATTGAAAATTTTCAAGCATCAAATATTGGATGGAAAGAAACTGATTTTATTGAAACTTTAAATATATCTAAAATGCATCCTAATCCTTTTGATTTTACTACAATTAATGTCCTTCGTCCTAGTAGAGAAATTCAAGTTCCTCCATTTGAAAGAATTAAAAAGTCTTGTGAAATAATAGGAAGAAGTAAAAACCAATTATTAAATGCATTTAAAGAAGTAATAGAAGAAAATAAACGGTTAAAAACAGAAATAATAAATCTTCAATTCAATTAATGAAGAATTTTGTATTAATTCTAATTTAATAGTAAATTTAATTAAAAAATATAGTTTAAAATTATGTTATTAAGATACAAAATAATGTTATTAAAAAAAAAGAGAAAAAAAAAAAAAGAAATAAATATAAAATAATTTTTAACTAAAAGAACTAAAAAAATGAAATATAATATCAAATGAGTCTTACAACATATGATAATGATTTTAATTTAGATGAACTTAATGATATTAGTGAATTTAATATTGGATCTCCAGAGTCAACAAAGCCAAATATTTCTAATGAATTTTTAGATATAGGAAGTGATTGGGACACTGCGTTTGAAGAAGAAGAAGAAAAAAAAGAAGAAGAAAAAGAGAAACCAAAAGATATAAAACAATTAAAAACATTAAAAAATGTTGAAATTGATTATCATGAAGAGAGTATAAGTTCAGTTTTTAAAAATAAAATAGGAAATTTCTTTGAACTAAGAAAATCTGTTTTAGTAGAAGGATTTAAAGAAGAAGAAAAAGAATTAAGAGAAAAAGTATGGGCAATACTATTAAAAAGAAAACCATTAAATACTGATGAATATATTCAATATTGTAATTTATCTCGATTAAATCAAACAATAATTGAATTAACTCAAAACAAAATAGTTCAAAAAATTAGTAATGCAATTGTTAATTGGTTTGATAAAAGAAATCAACAATGGTATAATATTAATACAATTATACATTTAATAAATGTATTTTTGTCTGTAACAAATGAATTAAATACATTTTATTGTTGTATTGCATTTTTATCAAAACAATCTATTCATTATTCAAATAAAAAAGCTTGGAAATATGCCTTAATTAGTATTTTATCTATTGTAGATATGGATCTTTGTCTTCATATTGTTCAATATATTGATGTAATAGAACCTTGGTTACAAAGTTATTGTTTAACCCTTTATTCTTTAGATGATTCTTTAAAATTGATGGACTATTTAATTGCAACTCATCCTTCTTTTTGTTTATATGTTATTAGTGCATTAATAGTTTCTTATCATTCAGAACTTCTTCAATCTACTTCTATTGAATCTGATTTAAAATCGTTAAAACCAATTTCAATTAATAAAATTCTTCATTTTTCTAATATGCTTTATACTCAGTCATATGTATCAGTACGTAATTACATTGATCTTCTTTAATAATTAATTTCTTTATTTTCTATTTATTAGTATTTTAATTATTATTATATAATAAAATAATAAAGCAAATCAGTGAGAAGATTAGTTTATCATCATGGATATTCATCCTGGTTGGAACTCCAGGACTTTTTTCTTTTTTCATCATTTTTGCTTTTTAGAAATTATGAAAATCATTAGTTTTCGATGTTTTGGACTTTTAAATTAAATTATTTTTATTTGGTATATCCAAAATGAAACAAACAATTTTCAATTTAACTTGAAAAATAAATTAATTCAATTCAAAAGTTGAAATAAATAATAATTTATTCTTTTAAGTCATCGAATAAATATTCCATTAATTGTGCTATAACAAAGCAAGAGACGCTATTACCAAGACATTGATATTGTTGTTTATCAGTTAATCCATCAATTTGAGTTGTAAAATTAGAAGAAAATCCGTGAATTTTTTTTATTTCATTTGGAGTAAAATATCTTAAATTTTTATTAAGTAAATCTTCAGCCTTTTTTACTGGAATAAAATGAGGTTCTATTGGACAATAAATAGAACCAGTTCCTTCAACAATTTTAGTATATGACTTAGTAAAACAACAAGTCCTTTTATCATCTTTACCAACAATATCTTTTCAATTAAATCCATTTTCAATGTTTTTATTTAAAATATATTAAAAAACAAACCAAATAACATTCCTTTCTTTAAAATTAAATCTGAAGGAATAGAATAAGACTCATTTACATTATTATCTAAATAATTTGATATCATTGACTCTTTTTCTTGATGTAATTGAATTTCATTTTTAAAAGGAGTTAATCTTGCCATAACATAATAACGAGTTCTACTATTTGGAATTCCAATATCAATAGGAGAACAAATAATGTCTTTAATATAATATTGATTTTTAATAAGAATATTATAAATTTCTTTAAAAACAAGTGATTCTTTAAATAATGGAACATTTTCAATAAAAATATGTTTTGGTTTATTTATTAAATATGGAAGAATATCACGATATAAATGTAATACACTTTTTGCTCTTGGATCATTAATATCTTTATGTTTAGACATTATTGAATTATTATATGGTTGACAAGGTGGACTCATAAACCATGTATTACAATTTAAAGATTCTATTTGTTTTATTGAAATGCTATCTAAATTTTTCTATTAAATAAATAATTTATTATGTATTACTCTTTTTTAATAAATATAATCATTACAAACTACTTGTACTTCTTCTTTAAAATTCTTTGAGTATATTTTATTTGCAATTTCATCTATAATTATTGTGAATATTTATTTTGATATTCCTTTTATTATATTATCTTCAAACTTATATCAAATGGTATAAATGTTGCATTTATATTAATTGAAGATCGTTCATAACTTGAACGTAATCCACCAATTCCACTAAAAAATTCAATAACATTTACTTGTTTCTGTTGCATTCTATTAAATAATAAAATTAATCTTTTTAAGTTTTTTTTTTAAAGAAAAAATTTTGTTAAATAAAAAACAATAAAATATTAAAAAAAAATGTTTTAAAGAAGACACTTTTGTTTTGCCATAGTTTGAACTTTTGCCTTATAATTATAGCCTAACTTCATACATTGACTTGGTTTAAATTTATCTTTGCATTTAGGAACTTTTAATTTCTTATTTAAGAATTTACATAAATCTCCAGTGCATGGTGTATGAACAATATATCGTTTAATAAGTTTTTTTTCTTTAACAACAGGTTTTAATGTTGCAAAATAACTATTCATTGCTTTAACATAAATGTTATCTTCACTTGGTGTTTGGTCTTTCTTTATTAATTCAATTTTTGCTTTTTCTTCTTTTGTTAATTCTTTTTTTGTAGAAACATTTGTTTTATTTGTTGTAGTACTAGCGCTGTCAACTGGTAATTCTGGTAAAACAAAAGTAGACTCAATAGTAGCAAGTCTATTACGATTAATTCTATTCTTAAATGCAAGCCTCTTAACCATTCGTTCTAATTTTTTTGTTTCATTTTTACATGCACGTTGTCTGTATTTTTTCATGCATCCCATTTTCATATTACATTGTGCTTCAGTAAGTACACAAATCATAACAAGAAATACTATTATTCTCATTTATTAAATAATATAATTTTTAGTTTTCAGTTTTTTTTTTCTTGATTTTTAATATTTTTATTCTTTTCTTTTTTTTTTTTTTTTTTCTTATTTTTTTATTTCTTATAATGTAAATTTATACCATTCTTCTTTTATTAACATATCTCTTATTGTTTTAACAGTATTTATCTCTCGTAACACTTTCATTTTTTAATGAATAATAATAATATAAAAACAATAAATATAATTCTTGTTATTAAAAAACTTGTGTTATTATGTTTTTTATCACAACCGATAAAATATTTTTATTATTTTTTTATTTGAAAATTGTGTTATGAATATAAAGAAATACTGAAGAAGACATTTAAAATAAAGAATGAAAATAAAAGAGAAATCAATAGAAGAATGGAGGAAGAAATAATAAAACATCAATGAAAAGATAATGAATTAAAAGAAATAATAACTAGAATGAACAAGAAAGAAGAAATAGAAGAAGAAGAGGTAATGAAAGTATTTAAAGAAGAAGAAATGAAAGAACAAGAAGAAGTACAATTTATTAATTATTATTACAATAAGAAGAAAATACATCAAATAATTAATATTATTAATAAAAATGAAATAATAATCAATACATTAGATGATTATTATCATTATATTAAATCTGTAGCTTCCACTATTAACATCATTAATAAAAATAAACAAGAAAGAAGTGGAAAGAAAAGTATAGAAAGAATATTACAATCAAAAATATGTAGATTAAGAGTTTTACTCCATAATAAACAATATATGAAATTAAAAAGAATAATACATATTAAGAAAATGATATATATCATATTAAAGTAAAAACAATTGAACAAATAAACTATTATAAATACCTCCGAAAGATGAAAATAATAGAAATAGAAGCAAGAAAGAATAATTTGAAAAGAATAAGATTGAATTATAAAATGATGAAATATGGAAAAAGACAACATCTAAATAAATCTAAAGAAGATGAATATCCAGATAATATCTCCATTATTAATTTCTGGAAAGGAATCTATGAGACTAACACTAATATAGACTTCCTGAATATTAATTTATATGAAATATTAATTGAAAATAGAATTAATAATAGAATGTTCATAATCACTCTAAATGAACTAGACTGTGATATTAAATTCATTGATAATTTGAAAGTAAAATAATATTGACAAAATACAATGATTTTGGATTAAATATTTAGAACAACCAAAGAAGTATTTATTAAAATTATTTAATGAATGGTTAAACAATCCTAATGAAATACCTATTCATTTCATTCAATGAAGAACAATATTAATATATAAAAAAGGAGATAAATTAGACCCACAGAATTACAGACAAATAACGTGCTTAAATTGTCTGTTAAAAATATATACATCAATATTAAAAATGAAAATAGAAAGCCAGCTGATGCTAAATCCAATTGAAAAACAATTATCATTAAATCAAATTGGATGTAAGAAATACACATATGCATCAAAAGAAGGATTATTATACAACACTATAATCCAGCAATTATTATTAAAGGGTAAATGGAAGTGGGTAGAAACATATTATGATATTTCTAAAGCATATGATAGTATTAACCACCAATGGATTAAACAATGTTTAATATATTTTAATATCCCACTTGTAGTAATTAATAATATATTATATATTAAATAATACACAACTTAATTTGTATTATAATCAAGAAAGAGTAAGTATAATTAATGTAGAAAGATGAATAATACAAGGTGACAGCCTATCTCCACTTTTATTTGTATTATCTATTGATGTATTATCTAAACAATTAGATAAACAAATAAACAAATTAAATATTAAAATGAATGGAGAAGAAAAACAAGTCCAGTTAAACCACATATTGTATATGGATGATTTAAAGATAATGACTAATAACCTCGATGAAATGGAAAAGCACACAAATTAACTAAAGAAATATTTAATTGAATATGATTAAAAATTAATGTAGAAAAGAGTGGGATAATGACTAATATTAATAGTCAAATAAATGGAGAATTAGCTGAATTACCAAGAATAACTAATGACAATCATTATAAATATCTTGGTATTGAAATAGGAGATAAAGTAAATATCAACAAATATTGTACAAGAATATTAAATGATATATCTTCTATTTTATCATCATTAAATACTATGAAATATAGCAGTCTTAATACAATAAGAAAGATTAATAGTGATATAATCTCCAAATTAAGATATGGATTTTGTATTGTCACATGGAAACTATGAGAATTGGAGAAGATAGATAAACAAATAAGAAATTCATTGATACAACTCCAATTATACAGTAGAAATATCCCAAAAAGTAGATTATATGTTAAAATAAATGAATTGGGAATAGGATTAATGTCAACAAGAGATGAATGTGGTAAAGAATTATTAAGAATATATTTAAAATATAAATATCAAACACAGGAATATGAAAAATGATAGAAATAATAAAAGAAAATCCAAATTGAATAATTAAAAGAATGAAGAAAACATTTTGTAAGAAGATTAATTTTAATGAATTAATGAATGTAATAGAATTAAATGAAAGATATTTAAATGAATGGAAAGAAAAGAAATGTGGAGAATATATAAGATGTGCAAATGGCACTTTCAATGATAAGAAATTAACAGTAGCCACTTGGAGGTCATTAAATATAAAAAGAAATGCATTCCTCAAAGTAGTAAAAATGCAAGAAGGAGTAACTATGACAGGAAGTATTAAATCTAAAATACTACAAAATGATGATTTAAAATACTGTAAATATTATCATAACACAATAGCATCTATTAGTCATATATTGTTAGGATGTCCTGTAATGAAAAAGAATCAAATATCAAAACATGAATATGTTTGTAAACAGATATTTAAACATATATTAATTACACAATTTAATGAATTTGATGCTATTGACTTTAATAATCCTCCTAAATGTATTAATAATGATGAAATGGTTATAACTTACAATAAAGATTTATTGGTTAGTGACAATTCTTTCCATACTATAAGATAAGATATATATTATCAGAATATTACAGAAAAGAAATGATATATTATAGATGTTGCTATATGTCAAGATAATAATTTAGAGTTAAATTATATTCATAAAATAAATAAGTACAAAGAATTACAAGAGAAAATAAGAAATAATAGAGAATTAATATATGTAGAAATAATACCTGTTATATTATCAATAAATGGATTAATACATAAAGAATCAGCAAGAAGATTAAAAACACTAAAATTACAATTAGACTTCCCCAAAATCCTACGAACAATTATTATCAAAAATATGAAAGACTTAATGTTTTACGCATTCAATTCTGGCAGCACATTAGAAGAAGAACAATCTAATGCGAGCATGCTAGAAATGAACTCTATTATAGAAATAGAGCATATTGAAGAAACTGAAATAATCACTTCTCAGTATGAAGAAAATCCAATTATGGATATATCTAATAATTGACCTTTTTTTTTTTTTATTTGAAAATTGTGTTTTTAAGAAAAGAGGGTTGTGTTATTAAATGAAAGAAAAAAAAAACTGAGAAGAAATTAATATCCGAGATATGCTTTGGAACCAACTCAAACTTAGTCAATGGAATAATCATTTTATTAAATCAAGAAAACAATTTTTTGAAGATATTAAGAATAAAAAATTAAGTAAACATATGCAAAATACAATTGCAGTTATTGTTGATCATTTATTAGGAATAAGTTTATTTATAATATTGTATAAAGTAGATATATTTTCATATGTATTTCCATTATTATTTCGTTTAATTAATTTTATAGAACATAGTGTTAAATGGTTTATAACTAATCCTGGTGGATTTAAATTTAATATTAACTTTAACTATTTCTTATCATCATTATCATTATTCTTCCTTCATTTTTGGAGAAGTTTGTTAAATAAATTTAAATAGTAAAAAAAAAAAGAAATAACTATTAGGTTGTTTAATATTTATTGTTTTACCTTCATTTTATATATTTAAAATTATTACATTTGCATCTCTTATAACAGGAATAACAGGAATTCTTTCTTTTTTTAATGACACTTTGGTATTAATTTTTTTACCAATAGAGTTATTATCAGTATTTTTTAGTGGGTTGGAACAAACTCATCTGTCTTTAATAGTTTCTTTGTTTAGATTATTTATGGGAACAAAATATAATCCTTTACGTAAAAGAGTTGATACATTAGTTTATGAACAAGACAATTTCTTATTAGGTACAATTCTCTTTGCTTTATTAGTCTTTTTATTACCAACATCAATTATTTATTATTTATATTTTACTTTTGTATTAATGATAGTTCAATTATTTAAAGTTTGCTTTAATATTTATATTGAATTGATTAATAACTGACTAATAACTGATTACTTAGAAAATACTTTCTGTATTAATTGTTCTTATAGTGGAATTCCCAATTGATGATATCATTGCTTCTTATAATCAACCATTCTTTAATACTCAACCTCATCTCAACTCAAATGAATTAAAATTAAATACTAATGGAGAAATTAATTTTGATACTTGTTGTAAGAAATATATTACTCGATTTAATAAAACATTTTACATTTCTTCAGATATGTTTAGTCATTACAAACAATCTATTATTAATGCTTTTAATGAATCAGAAAATGATTGATTTTTTTTTTGTTTTTTATTACATGAATTCTGTCTTTTTTTATAATAACTAATAAAATAATAATTAAAATATACTAAATACTAAAATTACCAAAAAAAAACCCAAGAAACTAAACATTAACTATAATAAACTATTAATAAACTAGTAACTTGAACCCTTGAGAACTCAAAAAACCCTGTCACTGGGTGTTTAGTTAACCATGCCATTATCTAACGGTAGAAATAGAAGAACCAGAAAATTATTTAAGAGACCATTCAGAGGACATGGACTCTCAAACACTTCAACCATTCTTCACACATATAAAGTTGGTGATTATGTAACAATCCTCTGTAATTCATCTATTCAACATGGTCTTCCATACAAAGCTTTCCATGGAAAGACTGGACGTGTTTGGAATGTTAATCCACATGCCATTGGAGTTATGGTAAATAAGAAAGTCAATAATAGAATTGTAGTTAAAAGACTTCACATTAGCCCAGAACATATCAGACCATCTGGATGCCAAAAAGACTTCCTTGAAAGAAAGGCTGCTGTTGCTGCCATTAGAAAGCAAAACATTCAATTAAAGAAAGAAGGAAAACCACTTCTTCCATTACCAGCTAAGAGACTTCCAAAACAACCAAGACCAGCTGAACTTATTAAAGGTGCTGATATTAAGTTCACTACTGTTGCTCCACTTAAATTCGAAGAACTTTATTAAATTCGGTATGGTTGCTATTAAATTTTTTGGTTAATGACTTTATAATTTTTATTTCTTTGATTAATGTTTATTAAGAAAAAAGAAAACATAAAAAGAGGTATGTTTATTAATAACTTCTTAAATTTTTATTTTATCATAAGAACTTGTTTTAATGTAAATGATGGTTTTAATTCATCTTTTATTAAATAAGTTTCTATCATCTTTTTGTTAATAGAAGATATTCCATTTAAAAGTAGAGAACTTGTTTGTGTTGAATAGAGAATTGGTTGTGAAGATGATAAAATAATATGATCTGTTTGACCCTCTTTTAAACTAATTTGAGTTATTTTATTATCTTTAATAATAAGTAATGACTTGATTTGATATATTTCTTTGATTTTTTTAATTAGATAGCCAAAGTGAATATGATTATTTGTAATATTAATGATAATTCCTTCATTTATGTCTAATAGGGTTTCATTGAATTGTACTAAAGAATTAATTAGAGAATCAAAGAGAATATTAATTGATTCTTTTTTAAGGATAGTTGAGCATTGTTTTTTTATTTCTTCTAAGTTGAAATTATTTTTTAGTGTTGTTTCTTTTTGGTGTTGTTTATCTTCATTTTGATCTTCTTTATATCTTCTCTTTAAAGATTGGTTTTCACTGTTACTTGTTCCTCTAACATTTTTTTGATCATTTGACAATTTAATTTTACTAACACTTAATGATAATGCTTTTAATTTTTCCTGTAAAGAAGATGAAAAAACATTACTCATTTCAACTAACTGAAATAAAAGATTAAATAAAAGTAAATTGTAAAAGAAAAAGAATCATATAAATAAAAAGTAATTAATTAAGTGTTATTAAATTTATTTTCTATTATTCTTTGTTTATCAGAGATTAATCACATTATTGTGTTTTAAGAATGTTTATCCACCAACTATTCATTTATTCTTTAGTTTTTCATTATTGAGAAGTAAGAAAACCCTTTCTTCATTCCTTTATTTAGATTAAACTTAAAACCTTTTCAAATTTCATCTATTTTATTATTCTTCATTTAAATAACTAACAACTGGTTGTAATATGTATTAAAAATTACCTTTCTTTATTTTCTTATTTTATAATGAGAGAACATACTACTATCACTATATTATGATGACTAATTTTCTGTTAGTCTAAACAACAATATGCATGTCTATTTTCTTTGTCAATATCACATAATATTAATTATACTTACATCCTAACAAGTGGATAACACTATCACCCTTACAATTACTTATTCTTCTATTATAATAAATGATATTCTATTATAATAATTAATAACCATTGATATTCTTGAAACATTGAATAAGATTTTTTCTAACAAATAGAAATATCATAATCAAACAATAATAAGGTGACTCAATGTTATGTGAAGTGTTTCTTACTTGTGACTTTCAAATCTTAAATAAAAGAAAAATATAAATTAAAAAGAAAATAATTTTATAAATGTAAATTAACACTATAAAGATACCAAACTATTGATATATTCTCTTAAGGAAATATCATTATAATCAATTGTAATTTCATTATTTTTTTCAATTAATTCACAAAGATATTTATTTATTTTTTTTCCAATATTAACAATACCCTCTTTACCACATAAATATTTCCCATTTCTATAAACACTTTTAATACTTTCATTTTTCATTGCACCATTTTTCCCTTCTGATGTAGTTGTTGTGAAGGTGTACCCTAACATATTAAGAATATCAATTAATAATAAATTTAGCTCTGTAATTTTATTTTTTCCTACCCTTTGTTTTGCTGCACTTATAGATACACCAGAATTAATGTCATGTTCTTTTCTTTCAGCACATCGTTCTTCTACAAAATGATCTATTTCTATAACATCATTTTTTCTTTGAATTAATCTAATATTTAAATATTGTTGTGTAACAGAAGCCTTTTTAACTGGCTTTTGAATAGTTACTTTGAACTCTTCATTAAGTAAGCCAATGAGTATAGCTTGTTGGCAAGCCATATAATTTCTTGTTTTCTCAAATTGGCTTCTTGGTGAATAACTTGACGCCATCTGCATCTATGAGTCCGATAGTAAATAAAGATTCTTTTGAAGATTTAAAATAATCACTTACAAAATAGAAATAAGGTTTAAAAATACTTTGAAAAGAAAAATTACTTTTTTATTAGAATAATTAAAAATAAAAATTCTATTTGAACTTATTGTTTTTGAATTATCTTTTTTTCAATCTATAACTAACATTTTTTTTAACTCAATAATTTTTTGGAGAGTGATTTGTCACTTTAATAGAAGGGGTCTACAAAACCTCACAAAAAAAGAAAAATAACGATTAAAATAATTAAAACTACTTGTAGAAATAATTTTAATTTTATATTTATTTCTGTAAGTTATAAACGAAAAAAATTGGGGGAGTATTTGTAGTTAAAAAAAAAAGAAAGTTATATTTTCAAAAGTTATTTTAAAAGTATTATTCTCTTAATACTTTTAAATTGAACAAACATTTTCAGTTTTTCTATTCTATTTAGACTCATGAACAATTGAACTATTATAATTCTTTGTATTGATTATTTAATTATTACTAAATATAGATTTCACGAGATAATTTGTTAAATTATGAAATTCTTTTTTTTTTGTTGTATGGGTTTAAGTTATATGACTTTTTGTTGGAGTTATTTTAACAGAAAACGACATTACTGAATTTTTGAAAATTTTTGACAACACTGTCTATTTATTCAAACAATTTTGTTAAATACAAAAATAAATGCTTTTATAAGATAAAGAAAATACAAGAATTTATTTATGAAATAACTTTTTTTAACAAAAATTCGATTTCTTTTAATTAATATAAAAAAAGCAATTCACTTTTGACTTTTTCAATTAAAATTAACAAAAAAAGTTTCCAATGAACTTAAAAGAAATAACACAACAAGAACATTTTCTTTTATTGTTAATACTCAACATATTCAGTATATTTTTCTAATTTATGTTCATCAAACAATTCAAGACATTCAATATATTCTTGTGCTGCATACCCAGTAATTCCCATACCTAATGAACAACGATAATCATATGCTGTTTTAAACATTTTCTTGGCTTTGTCCTGGCAGAATTGGCTTTGAAAAGGATATTTTTTCGCATATTTTAATAGAGCAACCCCAAACTGTTCAAGAATTGCAGAATATAATCTGCTATGACATAATGAACTTTGATATTTTGCAATTGGAACAAGACAATCTTCAAATAATATCAATGGGTTTGGACATTTCTCATCAAAGACAAAACTTCTTAATGTTTTAAACATATAAATGTGTGAATTATCCATTTTTCTTGTTTTATTATAGAAATGTTGAATCCTCTTTGACTTTTTTAATTTCTTGAAAGCTGTCTCTTCATTAATAAACTCATTAATTTCTTCTTGGGTACATATTTTATGACATTGATGACAAATCCATCCATTAGGCTCTTGATAAATTCTTCCTCCACAATTACATTTAAATGCTCTCCATGGATCACTTGGTCCACTACAAAGTGGACAGTCACAAAAAAATCCGTAATTCTCTTTAAAATATTTTAATCTATGAGGAAGAATAGAAGGAAAGGTATAAGAGATTGTTAATTCAGTCCCAATTTCAATATCTTGTAATGCAGTCCAATACATTGTATCTCCAACAGTGTGCCACCCCATATTTTCTCTACATGAATGATTACATAAACTACATGCCATAAATAATGCATATCCATCAAGAAAATCTAATGCAAAAGAATTTGTATGAATTCCATTAACAATTTTAGCTATATCCTCACGTTTAACTGGATATTCAAGAAGGTCATCTTTTAACAAATCTTGATAAATAAAATCAACATGTTCATTAAATTCTTCTACTCGATCAGGATTTTGCCCAAGTTGGATTGCTAATGGGACAGTACAAAACGCTGTTCCAAAATAAATACTTTTAACCATATAATATGTTGAGTCCTTCATGTCATCATCTTCTTCTGGACCTTCATAAAATACTGAAGCCTTCTCCTTGAAAACCATTTCTCCTTGATAAATTTTATCAGTACAAATTAATCCTCTTCCCTTTCCTGGAATTTCTTGAACTTCAAATTTTCTCACAGGAAAGTTGTCACGAAATATTTCTTCATATGAATTCCAATGAGGGTTATCACTACGGTCTTGAACATCCTGTTTTGATGGAATTAAAACATGATACCTTGGGTCAAATTCATCACCAATTTCTGGATATTTTAACGAAAAATCCATCCTGTTATAATATTTTATTTTTTTTTTGTTCCTTTTTCTTTTCAGAGTCATAAATATAGGACAATTTATAAAACTAATAAATAAATAAGATTACTTTTAATTTTCAACCCACTCTCCTACAATAACTTCTCCAGAATGAGAAGAGATATAAAGTCTGCTCTTCGTGGTAAAAAGAAGAGAAATAATTGGTGGATTTTCAGTTGTAATGACTTCTTCTGTATCAAAAGTAGAAGTTGAACAAGACAAACATTTATTTCCAAAAGCAACACAAAAGTTAAGACGGTCCCAGGAAGAAGAATATGGGTCAATTGCAATAGATTGAATAAATTGATTAGACAATGTACATTTTTTCATAAAACGCAATTGACTATGGTTTATCACTTCAATAAAATAAACATCTCCAGAAGTAGAAAAGGCTGAGACAATATTAGTTTCTTTAATATGAGAATAAGGATGTACATACTTTCTTTCAAAATTGCAACACTGAGCAACCAATGTTAATGGATTCTTATCAAAAGAATATTTGTTTAACACTTTACCTTGAAGATTAAGTGTTATAAGAGATTTTCTAAGAGAAATAACTATACAGTCATTTGAAATAACCATAGATGTAATCATCTCTTTTGTTGTGAAAATAGGGGGTTGTTTAGAAATCGAGTTAATCTGAATAATAGAGGATTTAGTAGGAGAAGGTATCACCCCATACAATTTATTCTTATAAAAACATAAGTTATGAACAGGTGTTTTCATAAATGCAAATATTTCTGAATTTTTTGCAGTCATAATATAATGTAACAAAGCGCCATCTTCAAAAGAAATGAATATATTGTCATTTTCCCAACAAGAAGAAACAATTGATGATTTATGTGAATCAATCCAAGCAATTTCTTTCATTGTTTTACTATTTAATAAATAAACAACATTAGAATTAGATTGAAATGCAATCAAAGATGAATTAATTGGACATTCTTGAATAGAGATTACATTTTTAGGAAATGTGATTCGATGACAAACATGAAATGCCATATCTCACAACGTCTTATTTTTTTTATTAACAACAAACCTTTTGAATAGTTGGCTTTTCAACTAATATTCTCAAATCTTATTTTCAAAAGATTAAAAGTTTCAATCTTACAAGTCTTTATGTACATTTTAAAATTAAAATAATCAAAATAAATAAGAAAAAACTGAAGTATTATTTATTGTTTATCAGCACAAGCCATACACAATACTTTACCATCTCTAATTTTGTAGTCATTAGTTCCAATAACATTACCACATTCTGGACATTTGAAACAATCTGGATGATATCTGTCTTCTTCAACACGGACAATCTTTCCTTCAATTGCTTCTCCACAAACTTTACATTTTGGACAAGCACAGGTTTTACACATTAATTTTTTGTCTTTCATAAAATATTTTTCTAATGGTTCTCCACATTCAGCACATACAAAACAATCTTCATGAACAAGATATTTTCCTTTCATAATTTCAATTGGATCTTCATCATCTGCAAATGGTTTTTTGCATACATAGCATACATCGTCAGACATTTCTTAATCTAATTAAATACAAAAAGTTCTCAGTTCTTTTTATATATATAATCTTTAAAATACCAACGTCAGTGCATTTCAACTGTTTTCCTTTTTTTTTCCTTTAGTTTAGTCATTCTTATTTTTTATTAATTTCTTATTATTCTCCTACCCAAAAACACAAACAACCTTTTTTTCTTTTTTCAAAACTAATTCGCTTTAGTTAATTTAACTATCAAAACCAGAAGAAAAGATTTTAAATCATTTGAAACGATATGACGAGGTTCCACGTTGATATTATTGGAATGGGTATTTTTTATATATTGTTAATTATTTTGTTTTGCCTTGGGTTTAGTCTTATAAGTTAGTTTTTATATATTTACTTTTTTGAGCCAGACACTTATCAGAGGTGAAATTCATCATTATGTTTGACTTTATTACAATGAATTATAAAACATAAAAAATACAAAAACTCAAGAAAAAAAATTAAAAAAAAAATAAAAAACACCATGTCAATTGAAGAACAAGTCATTGACAAAATGATTTTGGATTATAGTTTGATAAATAAGTCGTAATATATAAACTTACAAAAACTCATTTAATTAGCTAAAAAGATAGAAGATACTTATAACCAATTCAATTCTGATTTTGACCATGCGATAGAACAATTAAAAGAACAAATAGAAATTACAAAAAAACATTTAAATGAAGCGGTTGATAGATGTTGTTCACAAGGATTACCACCAGTTATTCCAGAACAAATTATTGAAATGATGGATTTAGAATTACAACAATATTGTGATGAGTGTGATAGAGTTATTGGTCAAGAAATAACAAAACTACAGAAATACAATATTGTGAAAGCAGATGATTTTATTACCGTGAAACAACCTAACTTACAAATAGATGATCATGGTGTTTCAACTGAATTATTTGAAACTGCTCTCTCTCAAACAGAGAGGTTATGTTCTCTTTTAGGAGTAAATATCACAGAAAATACATGTTAAATTATATGTCTTAATATCCTCATAATTTAAATTAAGTTTTACTTCATAAATTGGAACAAACTGAACTATCGTGTGTGTTATAAATTCAAGTATATTTTATTTTAATAACTAAAGTTAAATTTTTTCTGAATTTACAATTCTTATAGCTTCTTTTATTCATAAAAAATTATTATAACCAACAATTAATTAAGTATTAATAGAACTAACTTTTATTGTTCCTTTATTGGATGAGACCAATACTGTCACTTTGTCTTCTAATAGCTCTACAGAGTATTTTTAATTGTGTTCTCAGCGGTATTCTATGACACCCATCATGTTTCTTATTACAAGGTTTTTAATTTCTTTAATAATGTTAACCTTAGTTTTTATTTCTTTATTTATTTAATCCAATAAATTCTGTGTTTATTATTCAATTATTTGAAATTACTATTGGATTTATTTTGTCATATTTTATTTTCTCTATTTTCATTAACACATTCATTAATTCATTGTACATATTTCTTTTCTTCAAATACACTCCATTAAAATTATGATATTCAACAATAATCATATCAAATAATAGATCAATTTTATTCTTTTTATCTAATACATATATATGATATTTTATGATATTGTCCAACATTTTTAGGCATTATTTATTTGTTCAATATCATAGTAATGTCTTTATATTGGAACATTGTTTCATATTATATTTTTTATATTGTTTGTTTCCTATATATTTTCTTATTAATCAATATTATTATGCCAATATTGTCATGTTTTTTCATTTGTGATTTTTTATTACCAATACAAGATAGTAAGATGTGTTCTACTATTGCTATCTTGTCTTTACAAAGTGTTGAGTAT